GTTCGCATGATAAAGTTGGGGCTGTGGGATCAATTATACCGCAAAGGAAACCCAGATAGTAGTGAAAACAATTATATTAACTAGAACTTATCTGAAATTGTATGCACATTATATTTTGTAATATGACCACTTATTTTACCCCATATATCGGAAGCACTTACTATCTCGATCTGATTGGTATATAAATCAGATGACCACGACTCGCCCCCGCGACTTAAAATCACACGACACAAAAACCTCCTTTATACGATCTGGATATCGAAGTATTAATTTTTTATTTGAATTTTTCTGCGTACTTATTGTAAGAAGTGCTTACCTGAGATGAATGTCTAGCTGAATGTAGCAATCTCTCTGCTTCAGAATTACTACTTAACTAGATAATATTGTCTTAGTATCTTATGCCTGCTTTATCTGCGGAGCAGTGCACTCCATGCCTGAAAGATTTATAACAATTATGCGTATTCAATGATTGCTAAAGATTTATTTTTCAGTTCTTTTTTGTGCGGAGTAATAGGAACTTTCATTTTAACCTCAAACTTTCGCTTGTATTCCAGGAAAGCGACCTCACTCATACTCTCGCGCTCTTTTTTCCAGTAATTTTGATTATTCCGCATTTCAAAAGCAATCTTGGTTCGCCATTGTTCCAATTTTCTTTCGACATTTGGAATTTTTTTTGTAGATAAAGATAAGAGTATCAATATCAGATTCGTTTTTGATGAGATATTCTGAAGATAAAGAAATTAAGGATCAGGTAACTCTTGCTTGACTTCAACAATGTTTGAGAATTGCTTTGAATTATTTGATTGATTTTGTGTTAATATTATAGAAGGCAATTGTGGCAAATTTGTCACGGATTTATCAACTATATTAATGCAAGAATTCTCTTCACAAATCTCATTATTAGGTAATGTAGAGCATTGAAACTTTGCTTTCTCTAAAATGGTAATATCAGTAGTAATATGTGTTATATGTAGATACATATACATGTATTATCTGTTGTATACAGTAGGTACCATGAAGTAATGATTTTTTTTTCCCTAGAATCTTATTTTTCTTAAGTATAAGAACACTAGGGTTACTAGGGACAAGAATAAAAGAAAGAAATCAAACAGCTTCAGAAAGTCAAAAAGCTGGCCTTAGTAGTGGTCCTAGTAAAATTTCAACTAGGGTCGAGCTAGGGTCAAGGTAATTCGATATACTTTGATATAACATGTCTTTAAACATGAGCAAAATTAATTTACTCACGCCCAAGTAAAAGTTTATCTAAAATAGATCAAAAAAAAAAGGTACACAATGATATGGTCAAATATAACAGACAACAGACAATTAGAAACATAGTAGTAATTTATTTAATATACCATTGATTTTAACAAAGCAAGTTTCATATGACTAAGGGTTAGTAAAGACGCCTACAATTCTGATTTGATTATGCATATAAGTAAACCTTACATCTACATATTGAGATTGGTTTGCATTCACATACATTATTCTTGACCTTATGGGGAATTGGGTTTGAGGAAAGTTACGCGATAATATTTGATCTGGTGTCGCGTTAGCAATGTCCAATATTGCTTGAACCATAATTCCTTTCTTTGTGGCACTTAATCCTTCCATATTAATATTAGACAGAGCAATTCGACTCAGTGTGACTTGTCGACGGGGGGGCATCCTCTTCTTCAAACACTTGTTTCAAATGTTCAGCAAGGTGTTCTAAGGGAGTAATCCCTTCTCCTAAAAAAAATACGACACAATTAGTTTAGAAGCATCTGATTAATTGTATCTTTCAATAAGAAAAAATAAAACTTACTTCTCGATATATCAATGTGGGTTCTATACCAAATCTCTTGACGAAAATCTATAATATATAATAAGCTTAATTATAATATAATAATAACATTTAAAAACGGTAGTAGTAAATCTAACCTCTCCCGTCTTTTGTAAGTTCGGCCCAACTTTTCTCTAATCCTCTAACTTTAAAACAGTCAGAAGCTTCGAGAGGCAAAGGTGTGGAACGTTCAATAGAAATCGCTTTTTCTAAGGCTCTATGAGATAAAAACCTACATAAAAAAGACATTCTATATTATTAGATCGTATAGTATACATGTTTTCACAGATAGTCCAATTCATACCGGGTAAAGCGTAGTAAGATTACAACAGCCCCAAATAGAAAAAGCACAAACAAGACAAGAGGAAGGTTAAATAACAGAATAAGAAAGGTGCAAGAAAGTGCAAGTGCCAGAATAGGAATTATAACGATGAAAATAAGTTGTTGCATTTTTTTCACTCTCTGAGTCATGTCGAAAGAAATCTACCGTATAGTTCTGAAAATAAGCACCCCCTTTTAATTATAGGCATGTTTATTTTCGGAGGTCACAACTTTGTGTAATGAAATTATATTAATATGTAATCACATGCATATAGAAACATTGGTACATACAATTGATCCTTACCATTTTTGAATACATTTTGGGGAAGGTGCTTATTTTGGGAGGTAAAAGGTGCTTATTTTAGGAGGGTGCTTATTTTCGGAACTATACGGTAATTATCAGATCAATTTTTTAATGATATTTTTTGCCTCCCGATTTGTTACACGCAAGTCATTGTACGAAATTTGATTGTCAAGCTAGTACATGCCTCGGCCGTCATTCGAGGACATCCAAGTGATGAATGAATGACGACGGTGTTATATTTTTGTCGTCGAAAAATACATATTATTACACTGACGACGATATCAGATTTCTGTCGTCAGAAATGCGTCATAAAATGTATATCACGACACTGACGATAGTGTCGCATTTCTGTCGTTACGACATATGACGACGGTGTCAGATTTCTGTCGTCATGACACGTACCTGAGTGGGAATAACCTAGACGAAGTGGAAATAACATAATTATGTTATTGTGAAGAAGATTTCGAATGATCGCCGTTTGCACTTACAATTTCGGCAGGGGGTTATCGGTATGTTATATAATTTGCCGATCATCAAAAATTTCGAAAACCGCAAAATGTGCAGCGTAGAGGAACCCGTTCTGTTGAAAGGTACCTATAAAGGATCTTCGTTCTTCTAGGCACGTCGCTCACAATTAGTCCTGTCGTATAGAGCCGAAACCCAATCAGAAAATATGTATAAAGTGCAAATCTTCCCCGGCTACAGTATTGATCCGTCATTCCGTATATTGTAGGTACGATCAAGGTCACTTCTTTCTATTAAACGAAGGCCAGTCTAAACTATTAATCCTACGCGCACTTATTAATATATCTGTCGCACGTTCATAGGCAATGCTTTATTTATGTATTTGTCGGAAAGTTTAGAAAAAACATGGAGAAAGCCGCTTTAAAGCCTGGCACAGAGAAGGCACTCGTAGCATTATCTGGAGGACCATCATCTAGGTATGTTTTTTCGAGACTTTTGCAAAAAGCCCCTCTTGTTTTGCTACGTATGTTATATTTTATACTTTTTTTTACAGTGTTATGTTACAGTTATTATATGAATATAATCGAGAAGAACCTCATAAAAAGTCGAAAAAGCAAGTATTTAAAAGCGTCGAAGTTTGTTTCATTGACGAATCGGCAATTGTTGGAGAGGTAAACACCTTTCGATTATGCGATGCTTGGCAGCCGTGATCGTGCAGTCTCATGAAAATTTTATCCGGCATTATTTAGCAAGGCATAGTCGAGAATGTATTACAGATGGTACAAAAGCTAAACTATAATTTCATGAGGATTCCCTTGGAAGATGTTTTCTCACCAGACTATACAATCTCTGGAGTATATGATGATGTACTCAAGATAACCACTGACAGCATCCACAGAAAGCCATCTCAAGGTTAGTATATCACGTACGCGTTCCTACACATGTCTTACATAAATCTTATAGACTAAATCGTAACAGAATTGTTTCACAGTATTCAACAACAGTCGGGCAGTATATCTAATAGAGATAAATTAAAGGCCCTACTTGACGGCGCGAGTAAAATGACGGTCAAAGAAGATTTTGTTTGTTATTTGAAATTGAGCCTGTTACTTCATTATGCCCAGAAAAAAAAGTAAGAAGACAAGTAATATTGATATTATTACTGCATTACTTTCATAATTACTGACCGCACACGCCTTCCCTCAGTTGTACAAGACTGTTTCTGGGAGATTCATCGACGCGCTTGGCAATAAAAACGATCTCTCTAACAAGTAAAGGACGAGGGTTTAGTTTACCACTTGAGATTGCCGGGGAGGTGCAGTGGTTTGGGGGTAGATATTAAATCTGTACATTGATGTCCTTTTATCTTTCGTAAAAAATTTATAATTATATTATTGTAATCCAACTAGATATAAAAGTCATGAGGCCGATGAAGGATATGCTAAGCAAAGAGATTGGATTGTATAATCAGTTCTTAGATTTGGATAGTGTATTCATTCCTTCCTTGACCACCATGCTCCCACCCAAGGCTAGTATCGAAAGATTAACCGAAGGTTAGTAAGTTTGAACAAGACAAAACTTTTTCTATGCTTCGGCTAGTACAATGATTAATAATATATTTCCACATAGACTTCATTGTCGGACTAGAAAGAGACTATCCATCAACCGTGAGCACTGTTGCAAGAACAGCGGCAAAGCTTAAACCGTCTGAATTAATGCAAGATGAAAAGTGCATAATATGTTTAATGTGAGTATAAGGTTCTATAAGAATGCATCACAGTTGACCACCAAGCTAATCGTTTATATTTCAAAAGGCCGCGTCAACCGAACACGAAATCATGGCAAGATAG